GAAGGAATCAAAGAGATAAATCTTACCGTCCTTCAATACTCCTTAAAACAACTTATACAAAAGAGGAAAGAAACTTTATTTCTGGTAAAGAAATGTCTACCGGAAAAGTATCACTCCAAAATGCCATTAAAATATTCGAAATGTAACAAGAAATAGCCTTTTTGCAACGATTTAGATTGTTAAATGTATGGTTTTGAAGTGCCCCAAAACGGGGTTTTATTGTTAGTTTAGACTTATGATACACGAAAAAGCGACAATAATAATAACACGAAATGATGTTGCGTTTATTAGTTACGCTACCCCCCCCCCCCTCTTTCCCCTTTTCCTCTCTCTCTCTCTCTCTCTCTCTCTCTCTCTCTCTCTCTCTCTCTCATCTGTATAGCTGTCTGTCTCCCTCAGCCCCATCTCTCTCTACTCCTACTCTTACTCTCTTCGCCCTCCACCTTCCTTCTCCCTCTCCCTCTTTCCCTCTCTTCTGTCAATTTTACCCCCTCATCCATCCAGTGTCATCAAGAAAGTAATACCAAAGCAAATGATTTCCATTCAAATGGCATCATGGTGATGTGCTGCATGCATCTTTGTATCGTTTAAGTAAGATTGAAGAAAACTTTTTTTGTCATACAGGACTGTCATGCACAAGGCAACCATGGTGCTGCATTACAAGTCATATTGATTGGTTGGTTTAAAGAGTATAGCGTGTTAAAGGATAATGATGGAGAAGAATAGACGCCGCCGGGAATATGAGGAAGAGCTATGGATCTAGAGACCTCCGGAAAACAGGTGAAACGAAGATCCCTTTCGAATATCAAGGAAACCTTAAAGATCTCCATCCCACACGCCTCGCAGAAAAACCTTTCATTTACCATGGTAACGGTATCAGGAGAATCCATCACGCTTTACTTTTGGAGTTTGCGGAGACTGATAATGATATAGTCTCTCCCACCACGCGTTTTCACCATGTTACGAGCGCAGTGCGCCACGCTATTAATTCAGACCGCTCACACGCTGTATGCGTATGGGTTTGAGAACTTGCAGTGTCGCTCTGCGCGTTGTCGATTGAAAAATTGTCCGCCAGTGAACCCACTGCGACCATGGATATGAGGTGTCGCGCTGTAGTCGTGTTTTAGCCGCAAGGGTAAATATTGACGGGTATTATCATGATAGCGGGTCTGGATAGGCTGTGTGATTCTACGCAAAGAAATATCTTTCTCATTTGCAGAGTGCCTGGAGCTAGAATAGTAATTGCACGGAAACTAGGGTTGGACTGTGGCGGTGCAAGGCTGTACAAAATAATAGGTCTTACTACATTCATGGAGATATAAGAAGAGATATCTTCCATGCTACATTGTACTTCGGAGGTAGATAAAGAAAATGTGAGATGGGGAGGAACGCAGTTATTTATACATCGAGTCTCTTTTATAACTTCAATACCCAATGCAGCTAACATTAATTGTTAGGTATCACCGTAATATCTTCAGCTCCAAACCTGCCCGGTTCCTACTCTTCTCCCTCCTATACCCATCATGCCAACACCCCAACCCCTGCCGATCCATGATCCCAGGCCTGCCACTCCATCAAGACCAACATGCTTAAAGGGATTGGGTAACTTTCTCTCAGATTCTGAAACAAAACCCTGGATTTATCTCATGCTGCAATGATAATTATAAACCTTTAGGCCAGTCAGGAATCCCGTAACTTTTACAAGCCGATTGCTCGTCTGATTATCAAGATATTTATGAATGGAAATCGGAATCAAATTTTGCGTTTTCCTAACGGTTTTCATAACACTACAGTCTATTGGGGAAAACGCGTATGGTAAAACCGGTCAGTCAAAGATTTTTACTTTTTTGAGGCACTTAATTCTTGATCATTTTGAAGCGCAATTTGTTAGTGCTTCAATATTGGTGGAACGGATACATTGACAACTGTTTACGTGTTGCACACACAGCAGTGGTAAGGTTGAATGAAAACATCAGGTAACGTATCAAAGTATTAGACTACATGAAATATATTTTGATTATGAAAGTAGTGGGAATGGGTGGGGGGAGGGAAACAACGACAATGGTAGATTAGGCAGGGGAATTGGAGGGAGAGAGAAAGTGAGATGACTTAGATGAAGAAGTATAAGGAGGGGGAGGGGGAGGGGGGGAGGGGGGGGGGAGATAGATAATGTTAAATCTGTTTAATTTTTTCTATGTGATAGGACAAAGCTTTCTCATTATGATGGAGCAAGGGCATGTACCCATGGTAATTTGTTTCTATTATATAACATTTTTTGTTCTTCTCTTAGATATTTCCAAGATACAAGTCATTTTGGTGAGGACAAAATAATAAATGCACATAATATTGATTTTCGATTGGTTATGGCTTGTTACGTTTCCTTCAATTACATAATTTAGCTGTCTTCACGAATATTTATAAATAAAATTATTATACAATATACACATTTAGAATCCGGCTTTTAAACTGAATAGAAGTATATCGGAATACATCTGATTAACGAGAAAATAAAAATATATTGAGTTAATATATCGGCAAATGAATATGAAAAACGTTCATATCACTGTACAATAATACCTAACCCTAAAATCGAGCAAATTGTCTGTTTATGCCTAATATTATCATATTCTTTTGTCACCATTTATTTTGGAGATGGCGGAAGAAATTATTCAAAATCGCTAGCTGCCATCAGAAATAGGCGAAGGAATCCATTGCTGACGGCTTAAAAACGTTTTTTTTTAAATGCCGACAGAGGGCGGCAAAACAGAACCATTCCATGGACGAATCGATTCCTATCAGTTGAGAAATGATAAACTGTACTCTTGATGCCACCCCGCTCCAAACCACCCCCCTTAAAAAAAAATAAAAAAAAAACACACAATGAAAGTCATCCCTTACAAAACAAAGACAAAATGGTTCTACGGTGCAGTGCTACCACTGCACTACCATGATACATGAGTGTACCGTAATCAGTGGCGTAGGGGCCTACGCAGGATTTTTTTCAGGGGGGGGGGGTTTAAAATGTGAAAATCGCGCCTACCGATATTTCGCTCAGCCGGCCGGCGAATAAGCGGGGGGGGGTTGGGTGGGAGGTTTGAGGTCAGTTTAAAAAAAAAATAAAAACCCTTAAGCACACACACACACACACACAAAAGGCTTTGTTGTTGTTGTTGTTATTGTTGATAAACTTTTTTTTTTAATTAGGGGGGGGGGTTATCCTCCAAAACGCACACATTAACAAAAATTAAGGGGGGGGGGTAACCCCCCAAACCACCCCCTGCGTATGCGCCTGACCGTACTTATTGTAATGGTACTACCATGGTAGTAACATGGTTATGTACCGTGATCGAAATACCGTGTACTATGGCAATTTTGTATAAGGGATGTAGGCGCAAGTAACTAGTTATTAACACCGTATTTGTTTTATCTCTTTTCCCCTCTCCTCACCCTCTATTCCTCTCTTTGTTTTCCTATTTCATTCCCGGGTATTAGCTTCTGATAATTGTTAGCTTATCTATACTTAGATAGCTTTCAAGTTTGTTAGCTTCTGTTATTATGTTCATGTCTGCTTTCCACCGACTATGCGCTCCTTCCAGTTCTTAATTTAGGCAAGTGGTTCTAAAACGTATGCCTTTGAAGCGCAATTTTGTGTAGGGCTTCACGTTAGTATGCCACAAGCTCCTGCGATAATTATTGCTCTGCAGCGATCTCCTAACATCTGAACCCGACACTATACCGAACCCTAACCCAAACCATAACTTAGAACTCGATCGTAATTCGTAACCCTAACCCTAACCGGAACATTTTAGTTTTAAAGTGGCTCGGTAACATTGTTGATGAAGGTTGATGATAAAACCGCGTAAGTTTTGTATGAAATGTATTCCTTTTACGTTACTAAACCTCTAACATACAACAAATCCTGAAAAAAACTCAAACAACAAAGATATTTATGGCTTTCTTTGAACGTGCCACTGTGCGACATCCTCTAACGGTAAATTCTCCCCACCATTTTTGAAGACAAGCTTTTAAAATGTTTCAACACTTAAGTGTCTGGAATGGTATACAGAGCCTATTCATTGCTTTGTGATGATTTACATTCACCTAAAATGTAATTAAATTGTAATAACATAGTTGGGAGATTAAGGAATCGATCGGATCAGTTTTCCCCAATTTTTTCATTAATAATGGTCTGTTTTCACTCAAACTTTCAGATTATCTTTAATTGTTCATCTAGCATTGAAGTCACTACATTAGCACAATTTTTTATCATCTGACCAATGTTACCAAGTCCGAATTAGGCCAGTTTACTAACATGTACACATTTTAGGCATACTTTTTACTCAAAGATTGTTCTTGGCTTGCCGACAGCTTGCCTGACATATCACCAAGTAACGTATGCAGAATTCCGAGTATTGTACTTATTTATTGGTAATTAATGGAATACTTTTGTCTGATATGGTGCTTCTCTTAATTGTTTCTGCCCAAAACGAGGTCGTAGACACGCCCACACCAATCTCCATCCCTACTTTCCCATGCTAGTCTTCTTTCAGACTCGGGTGGCAACTGCAATTACGGGACATGTTGATTTTATAGTTTCCAAAATATTGCACAAATATTAAATGTAATCAAATAAAATATAGGATTAACCTGAAGAATAATTGTAGTAAAATGAGTGCATTGGTGTGTATTTTAATCATAACCCATATTTGCCTTGATACGAGGCTAGTACCAAAGTATGATTTCCCGTGTCCGAGTTGGTCCTTGGGCGTCCTATATAGCCGATAAGCCTTTTGCTCGCCAGCCACTGAATTCTTCATCATTAAATAAAAGTTTAGTTTTTAAAAATCCAATTTATCCAAATCTATATATCAAAAGAAGTAAATCTAATTTTAAAGGAATAAAAATCCTGAGAGAAGAGGCGTAAATATTCACTTCTGAATGAAAAACGCCTATAAATTAAAACAACAACAACAACAATTTCATAACAAACTCTTGAGAAGTCACATGACAGTCGAATTTCGGCTGAAACGTTAAGAGAAATCGAGAGGAGAAAGTGAGACAATCATCATGAAATTTGCTATAGTAGGTGCAACAGGAGGCTCAGGACTATGTATAGTAAGGCAGGCATTAGATGGAGGCCATGAAGTAACAGCAATTGTCAGAAATAAGGCGAAACTGGAAGATATTCAGCACGATAGCTTCAAGGTCAGTAGCACAGTAGATTACAGGTACAGTGAGCGAACGCGCACAGTGAAAGTGCCCGGAGCTCTGGCGGTAGTTTCTATTCCATACACCATGTAGCTGCATGCATATTGGAGCGCAGTATATAGTACATGTACATTTGTGTATGACAATGCGTAACTTACACGAGGATTCCGATCAACATTGACAAAAGATCTGTACGTACTTTGAGTTATCTGTGAACTTGGTGAATTGAGTATCTAGTTTGACATTTTTTATCTTCAAATGACATATGTTTAGGTGAATGTAGATGTGCACATGTGATTACAATTCTCTGTGCTGAAATTATAATAAAGTCAAGAAATCTGTTGCTGTTGAACTTTGGTAATCTTATCAGAAAATCTCTCTCAAACTGTGTGCTTTAGTATACACTGTACGCAGCATGTACTTCATTAGATAAATTACAAGTTCAAGGATATCGCAACCTTGTACATGTTGTAGACTTGTACCTACACACCGCTTTATCAGTAGATTGTTAGCGATTAATCCCAACAGTTCGCTCGTCAATAAGAGAGGGGAAAATTCTTGAACCCCCATATTTGTATTGTAGCAATAGCATATTTTAAAGTCCCTGAAACATCTTCAAAAGTAACATCATATTGTGTATGCATGACTCTGTTAGAATGTGTGGAAAAGGTATACCTTTTTTCAGATGGACCGCTCTGCATATATTTGGCACTGATTCAAATCTAGAATCGGGGTAATTTTATCATCTGTGATAATGATATCCATCAAGTAAAGGGTACAAAATCCAGAATTAAAAAAAAATAGGCTTAGGGGTGCTCTTGGCATTTGTGGAAGTGGTTCCTATGTAGCCCTCTACAGCTTTCCCCGTCAGCACTAAAAGAGCCCCCGTGAGAAGGCTCACAGGGGTTCTTTCTTTTTTGGACGAGCCCCAGTGGACAAAAAAATTAATTTGAGCCCTGGTACTGTGGTACACACTACTACACACATTTTATAATTTATATCAACTCTTTATTTACTCTCCCTGTGCCACATTGTATCCAAAAGGCTTCACGATCATTTAACTGTTTCCATTGCAAGATTAATCTATACCGGTGTTAAAAGGGTGTTCATACATGTAGAACCAATCAAGACCAGAAATAAGTACAAAATTTGCAAAGCCAATGTGTTGCACAAAATATTCTCCCATCCTTTGGTGACTTTTGTTTTGTGCAATATCACATGTGTGGCAAACATATGACCTTGCAGGGTCAGCAGGGAAGTGAAAAAAGCAACCAAAGCGTTAATTCTGTTCTATATCTATGTTTGAATCTGTACATCATTATGTTCCCAATGTCCAATACGTTGTGTAGGTTGTTGAAGGAGATGTCTTCTCGGCAGAGAGCCTTCAACCCCACTTTGAGGGATGTGATGCGGTGTTTTCCTGCCTGGGATCACAGTCACTCATCTACAGTACGACCATCTACTCTGCTCCTATGAGGGCCATCGTCACGGCGATGAGAGGTGCTCAGGTCAAGAGGATCCTCATGATGTCATCCTGGTATGTCAAAGGTCAGTATCATCCAACTCATATGTCCATAGTTATGTGGGGCTATGGTGCACTGAGGCCAACAGTGACAAGACTTTTATCAACATTTTCATCAACAGAAAAAGTAGTGAGATGTTGACGTGGGTTTGCTTTGTCAACAGTGTAAATAAACAACTTGGCTTGTTGACAGGTATCCCAGAATCTGGGAGATCCTTATTTTATCTCTACAATATTCCCTACACTTACTGCACGCCGACAAAGATGGTGCTATCAATGAACTCATGCACCCAGTGTAAGAACTTTTCTGCTGGGTTTTCTAAATCGGGGATCACTCCATCTCCGGCAGGCAGCAAGTAGGGGGAGATTGCATCGAGTTGGTGGAGAGTTTTAAAATTAAAATTGGCCGGATTCTGAACTAGTTGAAGGGTAAAACATACGAGGGATCACACCATCATCCAGCAACAATTCACAATAAACTTCTTAATATGATGGATTCACAATCCACATTGACACCAGTGATTCAACCATCATAGATCACTTAAGTCAATAAGCCAGTTCGTAAATATTTTCGGAACACATGACCCCCAAATATCCACAGATCTTTTACACTATGGATACGTCCCTCTTGTGCATTTTTAGAATAATCACTGTCGAAGTGATGGAGGTGCTTCATGAATACCTTTTGTTTGCCCTCTTGAGAAGAATACTTCCACCTGTGTATCAGATAAATCGTCGCTGTTTTCACGAAGTGACGGTAGTGAAAAAAAAATGCATTCACTTTGCGTTACGATTTTCCTCGCTACCGTCACTTCGTGAAAACAAGGACGAAATGTACTGTCGGTACATAAATGAATACTAATTACATAACTTTCATGAGCACGATAACGAGTATTCGTCTCAATGGTTTTACAATTTGGGAACGAATGACCTTTATCTGCACATGCGCAAATCCTAATTACGAACTCGCTCATTATCATTGTTGTTTTTGTTGGTGTTGTTATAAATCTTTTTGCACATTTTGCATCTCAGTTGATCCCGATGACGACCCTGGTTACATGGCTCGTTGGGTCGTCCGGTCAATGCTGAGTAAACCGTTAGCTGATTTGACCGTCATGGAACAGTTTCTGGAAGACGAGGGTCAGGATATAGACTACACCATTGTCAAACCACCTCACCTCATTGATGGACCCAGTACAGGTAGGTTATCTTAGATCTAAAGCCCCTTAAATCCTTGTTCAGATACGACGCGGGAAACTGCAGCAAAAAAAAAAATGCTGCGTCTTTAACTCTTATCCTGCCATGAGTCTGCTAGCGCGCTATTGTTATAGTGCCATGTGCACGCGAGCGTGCTATCGATTGAAAGCCACATTCATGCTAGCGAGCCACCGTTACGGTGCTTTGTGCGCGCTAGCGCGCAGATGTAATAACAGTTATTGTTCATGCCCATTGCACCGTGTTGAGTGCTTTTGCAGTGCTATTGAAAGTACCGTCGCGTGCATCAGATTATCGGCTTTCGATTACGCGTCTTCGTCTACAACAGTCAGATTGGATTTTCTCGAGTAATTTAGAGATTTGTTTTTGATATCATATATCATCAGTATGCCTCCCCATCGCAAGAGAATGGTACTTTGTTGTGTGCACTGAACATATTTACTACATACAGAAACCATATGAGACGACGGATTGGTTCGACAACTCACTGATAGTGTTTATTTACCTCAGCAAAATTACACATTCATGAAATGATATTGGTATCAATGGAAAAAGGGTGAAATTTCCTACAACTCTCATGTACAATGTTTGTTTATACAACATACGAATGAGAAGTTATAGTGGATCAAACATAGTAAAGATTTTAAAAACACGCACTTGAACCAACCCTAAAATTAACTTGGCACGCAGGGGCTTTGTTGCTGGCACAATAGAGATTAGCACCGTGGCACTGGGTGCATTGTATGGGTGGCAGCTTAAGAGTTAACGTGTAAATAAATGATAATTCCGTGCAACAAAGGTCCTATAGATGCGTATCCACTCAAGTCTGTCTAATAAAATTGCTAAACAGCCACTGAAATCAAGGTTTCCATGGAAGTTACCATCAGTGTTAAGTTTTATGCAACCAGGTCCTGGTTCCGAGCCCTAAATAGGATCCTACTGCTGCAGAAAAAAGCACTCAGGATAATATTTCAAACACAATTCAGATCTCATACAGATATTTTATTTTTCGAAAATAATATTCTCAAAGTGAAAGATATCTATGTGTTCCAACTCGGCCAATTTATGTTCAAACTAAGTAAAGACGACCTCCCCGCAATTTTTTCCGATATGTTCTGCAAAAATGCCTCTGTACACAATTACCCGACTAGACAACGGAACTGTTATCACTTACCCTTAACACGAACATTATTTGCACAGAATTCATTTGTCTTCGCTGGATGTGCCTATTGGAATTCTCTTCCCAACGATATAAAAGAAGCCCCTAGTCTTAGCAATTTTAAACGTAAACTTAGGAAAACATTAATCAGCCAATACTCCCCACCAACAAGCCAAGCTCAAAAATCTAAACCTACGGAAAGATAAAACAAATCTTTCCTTTTGTTATTCCTCCTTTCCTCCTTTTTTGTTTCTTTTTTAAGAATAATCTAAACAAGCCTAACGACCTGGTGGTGTACCTGCCTCCTGTCCCCATCTCCTTCTTCCTGCCTTTCTCTCGCTCTCTATTTCTCTCTTGCTCTCTCCCCTTTCTCTCTCTCTCTCTCTCTGTTACTATATTTATCTTACTTTTATTTTTACTTTTACTTTTTCTTTTTTTTTGTATTCCCTTTTAGTGTGTTTTACTGGTATTAGCTTTCGACCATAATTATTTAAGCGTATCCATGTAACTAAGTCAGGGGCTTGCCTCATACAAGCTCTGCTTTTTTAGCAAGCCCCTCCGTTTTGAATTACTTCATCAAGGTCATTTTTTTTATTGTTCAGTACTGTTTTTTCCCAATATTTCTTATCAACTAAATTTTGTTCTACATAATACTGAATTTACTTTGTTTATATTATATTTGACTGTATTATATTATGTCTGTTTATATTTTGTTTGTTTTGAAACGGAAATAAAATCTGAATCTGAATCTGAATCTAAACACAGAACATGTTCGTATATATGAACCGAAATCAGTTTGAACTGCACTCGATGCAGACTTCTTGACATACTTTGAAAAGAGAGTTGAGTCTAGAATGAACAGTATCCACACTACTACATGCAAGTGCAACTCAACATGTATCTTCTCCTATATGTGCAAATATTTTACAGCAGGAAGGCCAGGAGGAAAAAAATTAGGAGAGTTTGGGGATTTAGGGCATTACCTAAATTATGAGCAATTATGGAAACAAATGCACTTTATCTGAACTAAGTTTATAAGGTAGCATGATTTTGGGGTGTAATTGGCTGGGTCCAGAGTAAGTACTGACTCACCCTCTCTGGCAGTAATTGTGAATGTTACTTGTCTGTTTTAAACCAAACAATGTATTACCGTTTATTGTCGGAACTTTCTCGATTAGTGATTGGTCTGAATTCTGTTTGGTGGCTTAATTGGCATATGAGGACAAAACGGGCCTATACTGTTATTTTATTTTGCACAATAGCGGAGTGCTGATGGATGTACATTTGCCATAGCACACACATTCGTAACATTGCCTCAGTAATAGTTGTGGTCTTTTGGAGGCAAATTCAAGAATGGAAAGTTGAGTAGAAGCAAGGCTATGATATTCATTAATTGGAGATTTAACCTATCTAACTGAGTGCAATTCAGAAAACCCCTCATGCTTCTATAATCTAACCTTTGCCTGTGGCCTGTAGTGAATTATTACAGCATTAGGGAAATTGTAGGTTGACAGGAACTAGTTGGCATGTATATATGCAAATTTGAGGAATATGTTTGTATTCCTGTATTGAATTTCATATTGAATGCAGGGCTTGAGATCATTTCTGAGATCAGTCTTCAGTATTGCAAAACTAAGATCACAGAGGTGGGATTTATTATATTGAATATTACTTTTGATGATGCCCTTTTGATCTTATTGATTGCAGGTCAGGAGATCGTAGTTGAGATCGGTCGTCAGTTTTGTGACACTCAAATCAGAAAGATGTCGAGAGCAGACGTTGCTAGGTTCATGCTAGCAAACGTCAAGACCGAAGAGCACTTCAAGAAAGCTTTGGCCATCGGAATCAAGAGTTAACCCGTTTCTTTGTCTTTTTCTCATTTGTTATTCTTTCTCAAAGAGATTCCTAATTATTTATGTAAAGTATCCATGAGTGAGGCTTTTGTTAGGGTTTTATGGTGTATTTTGGGGGTCGGGTTAGGGTGAGGTAAAGTGGTTGGTCCAGGGTTAAAGTAAAGAATTTTGTAAATGTAAGAAATTTAAGGGGTTTTTTTTTTTTTGGGGGGGGGGGGAGCTATTGCCTATTCGGCCTATTTTCTGATCAGCCCTTGTAGGCCTTGTATGTTCCAACTCACTGCCAATAATTATAGAAATTCATGTACCTGTGTTTTATTTTATTTTTTTGTTCCTATTTGTGAAACTATGACCCATTTGAAATGGGGAGGGTACATTTGGAGCTCTATTTGAATACAAATCTGCAAACTTTCACCCAACTTTTGTTGCAAGGGTAGATGATTTGTGTAGAGATGGGGACATCTTTTTATGTGACAGCTATGTTTTTATAAACACAGTCCTATTGTTGTTTCTAATAATAGTAATACAAATAATATGTAAATGTTCTGCTTTTATTTTATTATTGAAATATCTGTTTATTTTTTGCATCATCTGAAATAATATAAACATATTTAATTTTCAAACTTATGTCAAATAGTTGGTAAATAACTCTAACACTATGATGGCCATTTTATCTCCTACCTTGTTATACTTTTGCAATATAAAACTGCCATACTTTTAAAGCATTGTTATGTTGTCATCTGATATGTTATTTTAGAAGAACTTGTGGTACATATTTAGCAGGACCATGGTCCCATATTTGACCGGAGGCAGGTCATGCAATTTTTAAAGCACAATCCCATATAACATGATTCACATTTATGTAATGATATACAGTTTGTACAAGTACTTTGAAAGATTGTGTTACAGTTATAGGACGACATAATATCGTACCATAAATTTAGTTGATATTGAATCATCCATTGTTAAATTTGAGAATTACAAGAAGTAGGTAGTATTCAATATAGATATATACATGTACATACTAGAAGTCGTCTACTACTAATACTACTAGTACTATATAATACATGTCTGTACTGTGAGAGGAGACTAAAGTGTTCTAAAGGCAGGGTATTTTACCAACATCGCTACCACTGCTGTAATGTAAATTCAATTGCGCCATTATTTGATGAATGTTTTTAAATCAGAAGATACATTAATAACTTGGTCAACGATTTGAATACCAAGGGTGGGTCTTTCATTCTGGAAAAGAGGCTCTAAGATTTTGTTTATGTTCAGGAACATCACATATCGTCTAACATTTGAAAAGGTAAAGAAATTTATTGACCATGAAAAGGACATTAAAATGGGTTCGATAACCCCCCCCCCCCCCAAAAAAAAGAAGACTCATAACCACATAACCCCCCCCCCCCCCCGATCTGCCCCTACATGCAATTATAGTTATTAGAAATATGCAATTTTGCTGGGAATAAAATACACATATTTTGCTACAAAAGAATCATGGAATATTGTTAACTTTACCAGTAGACAATAAAATAATAATGTCATTTATTGAAATACGAAAATATTGCAAGTTGCAGAAACTTTTGTATGAGCATTACAGACATTTCTGCTGGAGGAATATGTTTATCTGAAGCTATCGATTAAGCTACATGGTTTAAATGTAAATGTTTTTATTGGTAAATAGTGAATATACTTTCCTTAAAAGATATGAACATTCATATGCATAAAAACCTTCAACCGATTTCGTTATTGAATTCAGTGTGAAATGATGCAATATTTATTTGGGGGCTAACCTAGATTAGCATGTTGCTATTTGTTAGCTCCATTCCTTTGTTTACCAAATAATATGTACTTATTTTGTATTGACTATATTAATGAATCAGAATGTAGATGTCAGTGATAAATAATTGTTTATTGGCTGATATTCTTGAAATCAACACAAGAATCTTATGTACTAAATGTATTGTAAACTACATGTATGTTCACAGCGAGTTTTGATAGACTGTTAGGCCCGAATTCACAAAGCAAGGTTTGAGCTCAGACCAAGGTTTGAGCTCAAACCTCCTTTTGTTTCGCCAAACCTCCTTTTGTTCTTTACAAACCATGTTTGTAAAAAACGCGTTAAACGCGTCATATGACGTACGAAAACCAAGGTTTGTCGACAAACCTCCTTTGTGAATTCGGGCCTTAGAGTTTGTGTTTAGATATGTAAATGTGTAAAGCATTAATTATGTTTAGAAAGAGGTAACGAGATGTATCTTTATAAGAAAATATATATATAGCAAACAAAAAACTTCAATTTCCATTGTTGTTTATTTATAGTTTGCAGAGTGTTTGTTGTATTTTGTTTAATTTAATATAGTATTTATATAAATAACGCAAATGGTGATAGATCCCATGATAGATTCGACATCAAGAAATTAATTATCAAAATAATGATAGGTGAATCCATACTTTGTTTAAATCTCCGAAATGTTTGATTGAGTGGTCATCTAGGATTCTAGGACCGGGAGGGGCGGGGGCTCAAACACGTGTTCAAAATATCTGACAGACAAGAAGGTTACCACCATTTTCAGAGTCAGGGTAAGGTCTTACAGATTTATGACACCCCCCCCCCCCCCAAAAAAAAAAAAAACAACAACAACAACAACAACAAACAAACAAACAACAACAACAACAACAACAAAACGACTTATTTTTAAATAACAGAAGACAAAAACGAAGAAAAAATAAATAAGGAAAAATATTAAAAAACGAGAGATATGACAGGTTAGTTATTTAGTTCTCCAAATAGTAACAATTTAAAGATGAGATAAAATAGAAATTGTTGCATGAATTCACTCCCCTCTTCCCGGGCGGGAGAATCCTAGAAAAGCACTTATATCAACAACAACAAAAATGGACAAATAACTATAAAGTGGATTCCATCCAGGTACCATTAGCGCAAAGCAGAATGAAATAGTTACTAGGTGTTGTGGAGAGAATACACAAATTGAAATGCATTTGAAGCAAACGGGTATATTTGGTATTTGCCTAAGTATTAATGCTTCAAAATTTGCATACACTTATCGTTGTAGGGCAGTTTTGAATAGATCACTTGTCAGGTTGGGCCCCAAGCAGCATTGAATACCCACATGTTCGATGAACAGTCCGGTTTACTAACATATTCAAATTTATGATGTTTCTTTCCTGGGGTCCTGGTCCGATTTATTCCATGACCCCGATATAAATGAGTGAACTACAATAATTGGAATCCAGTCTGCATACATTACGTGTTGCTATGTCGGGCAAGCTTTAAGGCTATCAAGATCAACCTTTCTTTAAACAGTATGAATAATATATGAATCGTTAGTAAACCGGTCTATTCCACCAACAATTTGCCGATGTGCTTGCCCGAGTAATTTGCATATAAAATATTTCAAAGACAAGTGTTATGTTCGTGTGGGTCGGTAGGCCGGTTCTGATTAAATTACTAGATTTGCTGGCCACCGATCAGCTTGAATGTTGAAAACACTTTCTGTGAATTCCACCAATAATTTGCTGCTTTGCATGACAGAGTACTAGGCCTAATTTGCGTACATTTCAAAAGTAGGACGGTTTTGAATAGATGGATGCCTGGATGGGCGATGCATGCTGGGTGCTTTGTTATGTTGTGGTTGAATGGCTCCGAAGGAATCGTTAAGATTGTTGATTGGGCGTCAAGAAAAGCTTTGGAAAGGCAGGGTTAGACATGCACATGCCAGTGCGGCCATTTTCTTTTGAATGAGTTTGACTGCAAGATTGCTGCAAGGTTTGTGCTGACCAGAGGGCAAACCACCGCAAAGTCAAGATGCGACAGAAGACAACCTGCCTTTCCAGCTAAAGTAGAATCTCTTTATAAAAAAGACTGTAAGTGATATATATTTTTTGTTTGGAAGAAGGTGTACATTATGTATTACATTAGCACTTTTGAAGTTGCTAAATCTAATGGCCTATAGCTATAGTCATGAAATGTTGTGATGCAACTGAATCTACTTTTGTCTACTATTTTATTGCATTTTGTGTATTCGTGAAAAAGGTAAGATTGTAAGACAATCGGGTTTTTCCCCCTTGAGTATCATAGCTACAAGTATATATTTTAATGCAGGCGCGGAGCTACGATCTTATTTTAACGACGGACGGTAATGAGCAAACTAGCGAATCACTTGAAGAGCGCGCGAAGCGCGGAAGCTGAGACGTATCCTTAAATTATTAGGAAAAGAAGACGATTTATTGTACCGTTCTCGACTGTCCATCCGTGTCTGAATGAAGTTTCCCCCCTCCCGCGCGAAAGTTTTGGCGTTTCATTAAATTATTAGAGAAAGTAGACGATTCGGTGTACTGTTCTCGATTCCTAATCCGTATCTGAATTCAGTTCTCCCCCTTCCTCGCTCCGCGCGGAAGCTTAGACGTTTGATTTAATCATTATTGAAAGAAGACGATTCGTTGCACCGTTTTCGACGCTTATTAAGACCTATTTCTCTGAATTCAGTTTCCCCCTCTCGCGCGAAGCGCGGAACCTTTGACGTTTCCTTAAAATTATTAGAGAAAGCAGACGATTCGTTGTACCGTTCTCGACGCTTAATAAGTCCTATTTGTCTGAATTCAGTTTCCCCCTCTCGCGCGAAGCGCGGAAGCTTTGACGTTTCCTTACATTATTAGATAAAGCAGACGATTCGTTCTACCGTTCGCGACTCTTAACCTTAATGGCCCGAATTCACAAAGCAAGGTTTGAGCTCAGACCAAGGTTTGAGCTCAAACCTCCTTTTGTTTCGCCAAACCTCCTTTTGTTCTTTACAAACCAGGTTTGTAAAAAACGCGTAAAACGCGTCATATGACGTACAAAAACCAAGGTTTGTCGACAAACCTCCTTTGTGAATTCGGGCCAATTTGTCTGAATTCAGTTCTCCCCCTCCCGCGCGAAGCGAAAGTTTTGGCGTTTCATTAAATTATTAGAGAAAGTAGACGATTCGTTGAACCATGCTCGACTCTTTATTCTTGTCTGAATTCAGTTTCTCCCCCCTCCCGCGCGAAGCGCAAAAGGTTTGACGTTTCATTGAATTTGGAGAAAAGCAGACGATTCGGTGAACTGTTCTCGACTCTTAATCTTTATCTGAATTCAGTTCTCCCTTTCCCGCGCGAAGCGCGGAAGATTTGACGTTTCATTAAATTATTAGAGAAAGAAGACGCTACGTTGAACAGTTTTTGACTCTTAATCCTTGTCTGAATGAAGATTCCACCGCGCGGAAGTTTTGACGTTTCATTAAATTATTAGAGAAAGTAGACGATTCGTTGTACCGTTTTCGACTCTTAAGAAGCCCATGGCCCTGGGAAGCGGGGGCGCTGGTGGTGCTGGGGGTGCTTGGGGTGCTGCAGCACCCCTGCAATTTTTTTTGTCTGATACATTGAATGTTTATCATTATGCTTCGTGTACGAAATTGTCACACAGCCGACAGCCACAAATTACGCTTAAAAAAAAATTAAAAACAAATCTTTCGCAAAATCATATCAGATGTATCCCTCGACGAGAATTGTTTATTAAATTTTTGTATTCATCGTATAAATCTTCATGAAGGCTTCACACCTTTAATCAAACAGTATTGTTACCAACAAAAAAAGGGGTTAATTATGAGGAATATAATGACATAACCGAAGCATGTTTTAGTACTTGTTTGTACATGAACATGTCATAAATATTATGTTAACTGATATTTCCTAACAAATTACATTAACTTTTCGGTACATAGTTTTCACTGTTGAAACCTTCAGGACGATATCTTCGATGAATGCAACAAGTAGCATAAACAGAATTTCGCCTCGTCACACAAATCGAGACAGAACTCTTCACGTATAAAATTAAATTAATATGATTTAGATTCAAGGAGCAACATCAATAGTAATCATTCACGTTTAACATTAGAAAACTAACTTTAGAGTACTAACTTTAGAAAAGATGAAAAAAAGCATTTTTAAGTATAGGGATGAGGAAAAGAAAATAGCAATTAAAATGGGAAAGCTGGGATCACATTTCTTAAAGTGGGAGCAGCTTAAGATTAATTAAGATTTGTTTTCTTCTCCACCGTAAGCCTGTTAAAAGCGTAACTCTATTTTGCGGCCTGGATAACTTATTTAGTATATTTTTCTTGAGTTGAGAATGTTGGCAGACATCCACTGAGTGAGTAGTGTGTGTGGGGGGGGGGGTGGGTGGGTGGGTGAGTATGTGTGTGGGTGGGTGAGTATGTTTGTGTGATGGAGGGTGAGTATGTTTGTGTGATGGAGGGGGCAGGGAGGGGGCAGGGAGGGGGCAGGATTGTTCCAGTAAAATTACCTCCAGATTTGTTTAAGTT